AAAATACTTTATTAGAAACTTGACCTCATTTGTCTATAAGTTATTGTTTCGGTGTTACTGACAAAATTATCCTATTCTTATTTCCACACCATTGGTTTGTTTGTTTAAAGTTAAGCACAAAGCTACACAAAGGGCTATCTGTGCTATGCCCACCATGGGTATCGAAACCTGGTTTCTAGTTGTAAGTCCGCAGACATACCGCTCTGTCACTGGGGGAAGGGGGCACACAATTGGAGAAGTAAGTTTGTTTGTTTGAATTTATGCACAAAGCTACACAATGGGCTGTCTGTGCGCTGCCCACCACGGGTATCGAAACCCGGTTTCTAGCATTGTAAGTTCGCAAACATACCGTTGTGCCACTGGGGGGAAGGAGAAGTAAGAAAACACCAGTGAAAATTAATCTTATGGGCTAACATTTAGTGTAAAACTATTATAATCTGATATTAAAGTTACGGGCGTAAGTTAGAGGAAACCTGAGAAACATAGTGTTTACTTGAGGCATAATGGGATATGTTAATAAAATTATGTGCGTGGGGGGAACGTATCGAGGGTGCGGTCTTGACCCAGCCTCAATGGAGGCACATGTGTACAACTCAAAGGCGTCGCTAAGTCCTTAAAAGATTCGGGGCTTGGGTCTATAGGCGCGGGAATTTTGGTGTTTCAGTATGATATCGATCATGGCTTTATATTCTGATTTTTCCAAGACACTAACTAGGGATTCGAGGCACGGTCCACGTGTGCCAGCGCCTAGCGACGCCTCTGATACAGCTGTAGATGTACTGATACTTCCTGTGTTACATATTATTTCTATATAAACACCTTAAATGTGAAAAAATGGTGCATATATATACACACGTATCTTTGTAAACTACGTGTACCTGAGAATGACAAAATCTTGTCGAAACGTCGTACATTTATGATAAAGTTTTTCATTACCTAGTCAAGCTGTCTCAAAATATTTACTTTCTTAAAAGTAGGTTCCTCGTTATCAAGTCTCACTCTTGTTAATAGCACACAGTGTGTCCAGCAGCAGGTTGTTTTGGCCACACGACATACTAACATGTCTCTTAATCAGTCATTTGTTGTTCACTTTGTTAGTGTTTGTTTCAGAAAAAGTTAGTGTAAAATATTGATATACATCTAAAATATATATATCTAAAAATTTTGATATATATATATATATATATAGGAGTAACAATATAGTCTACACTGTACACACATAAATGGTATTAGTACTGTTTTACATCTTTAAAAAATAACATTTATTTCAATCTTCATGTTAACTTTCATTGATATTTTCATTGGTCTGTTACATTAGTCTTCGAATAACACGCAACCTAATCTTACATAGTTTTAGAAAATGATAACTGAGTTTTAGATTGTAAGAACTATTTAAAATTGATGTCGAGAAATAAAGTTTTGTTCTTTTTTCGAGTTAGAGTAACGCCAAACTATGAATTAGAAACGTTTGAATATTCCAAGAGACAGGTAAGTATTGTCAGAAACTATAGTTTTGAGATTTAATAATTAAAACAATCAAAGTAAGATTAATAAGAACTTTTGGTCAAATAAACATTAACACATAGACCAGGACCAAAATTAACTCATAAATTCATTCATAAAGCTAAATTCATAAAACAAACTGACTTGAAGTACATAATGTCATAAATCAATACAGACCAAAACTTAGAACTTTTTGACCAATCAGGAAGGCACCTTCATTAGTAACAATGTTTTCATAAACAATTACTGGATTTTGCGCGGTATATTACTTTAATTTTAACGGAACATATGTAGGACATGCTTAACACGACTGTGTGTGTGTGTGTGTGCATCTACTTATTGTTAAATTGTTTTGAAAACTTCAGAAAAATAAA